AAAGTTGAATCTGAGCAAGAAGATCCTTCCCCCCAACCTACCTCAAGCAGAGCCGCCTGTGTCACAAGCCATAAACAGAACCCTGGCAGATACACCCAGAGTTCCTCCGGAGAATCCTCGGATTCCATGTGCCTGGCACCCTTTGAAAGGAATGGCAAAGCCAGATCCACAGCACTCACCAACTGTTCTGTGTTATCATCAGGTCAGCAGGTTCATCATTTATAAATTTATAATATTATCAACTTGTTTTAGTGAGACCCCCCTGCCCTGCAGAGCTGCTCCAGCCCTGGGAACAGCACAGGGAGCACATGGAGCTGCTGGAGAGAGCCCAGAGGAGGCACCAAGAGGATCCCAGGGCTGGAGCAGCTCTGCGGGGAGGAAAGGCTGGCACAGCTGGGATTGTTCAGCTGGACAAGAGAAGCTTTGGGGGGACCTGAGTGTGGCCTTGCAGGGCTTGAAGGAGCTCCAGGAAAGGTGGAGAGAGACTATTTCCATAGTATCTTTGATAAATTATACCATCTAAGATACAGGTTTTATGCCTATATATATATATATATATATATATATATATATATAAAACATGAAAATTGGCATCCAAAATCAGAAAATTACTGCAGTTCCACCAGACATAAAAACCTTCTTGTCTTTCCCTCCTTTCCTTACACCTCACCTTGACAAAAATTCAGCTTCTTTCCAAGAATGCAAGTCCTGGTGAGCTCTGTCAGAATATGTTTGGTGGTGGTGTTTTTGGTTTTTTTTAACAAGCTTTGCTTTCAAATCTGTTGCTTGAAAAGAGCTGTTGAGAGCAGGCTGAAGAAGCTTCTTGGCACTGCAGGAATATGGAGTGGGATATTTTGCAGAGCTACCTGGAAGACATTCAGGGAGGGTTGGGAATTTTAAGACAGAACTGTGAGGAAATAATGAAGATTTCCTGGATCGGCAAAACGCAGCTCGGAAGTGACAGCCCTTTGGAATTCTAATTGACATCTATTATTTGGGTTTGGTTTTTTTTTTGACAGAAAGTGAAGGTTCAGCGGTGTCTTTATCGACTTCCTCTTCCTCTTCACCCTCCACGAGCAGCTCAGAAGACAGCAAGGAATGTTGTGAGGCCAGCGTGTCCCCCCCGCTGCACAACGGGCTGTGCAGGAGGAAGGGCGGCAGCCCCAGGATGACCCGCAACAGAGCTGCTCAGAGACAGCACCCAGGTATGGCCTGGGGCCTGCAGTGGCACCGGCAAACACCACACCTGTCTGTAAATAAATTAGACCCAAAAAGAAGTGTAATTTTTTTTAATTAGTAATTTTTTTTATGACAACAGAAGCACCCGACTTGACCGGGAGTGCCTTTCATTCGTCGTGTCTGCGTGTTGAGCCCGTCCCAGATCTGACCAGACTTCAGAAGCTGCTGTGTTGATATTTCAGATTTCAACCTCTACTTTTCCTTTGCAGGGACGGTTCTTCAGGAGAACGGGAACACCAGGAAAGCTGTCAGGAAAAGGCTGTACGTAAATAACTCCCAAAACGCTTCAGTGCTGCCATCCCAGCCCCTCAGCAACAGCACGGGCAGGCACAGGAAAACCCCCCGAAGAAGCGCTGCTCTGGCTGCCAATAAACTGAGGCTGATGAGTGACGTGGAGGAGGAGGTTTCCAGCTCGGAAAGCATCGGAATTGGCTGCAGGAACAGGAAGCTGCCCCACCGCAACGCCTCGGCCGCCGCCCGCAGGATGCTGCTGGAGAGATCCGAGGATGACACGGGCTTGAAGTCAGAGAGCGAGAAAGAATTAGAAGAGCAGCTCACCAAGAGGAAAACCCTTTCTCAGCCTGGTTCATCTGCTCCACGGAGGAAATTCGTGAGCGAATCCGAAAACGGGAGTTCGGATTCCGAGCCGGACGCGCGGCCGTGCCAGAACACCTGGCAAAGCAACGGCCACAAACACTTCCGGGGCTCGGCCCATCCCTTGTCCCCCAAAGGGAAGAATTCCAGCCCAGACTCCTCAGAGGACTCCAAAAGCCATAATTCCGAGGAGGGGAGCAGTCCCAGGATCTGTGACCAATCCACGCCTGCACACGAGAAACCTGCAGGGAGCGACTCCGAGGACGAGGCGGATTCCGAGGTGGACGGGTGGGATGGCAGGAGAGCAGCTGGCAAACAGCTCGGTGCTGCTGGGAAAAAAGCAAAAGTCCTGAGTGATTTAGAGGACTCAGCAGAATCTGAGACAGAAACCAGGGAGGAGTGGAAAAGTTTCCCCTCGGAGAACTTGGTGCCAACCAGGATTGCAGGGAATTCCAAAGCCGGCCCCTGTTCCAGCTTCCGTCGCTCCTCTGACACAGACTCGGAGGCTGAGTCCAACAACAGCAACTACTGTGAGACTTCACTGACAGCAAGCAAGAGGAAAAGAAAAGGAAGACCAAAAATCATCAGAAAAGGTGAAATTTTAAAAGTTAATGCCTTTAACTCTTGATGTCCTGAGGGGTGACAGAGGAAAATCTCTGGGACCTGATTAGAGAATTTCAGTAACCAAAACCTTCTGGTTTGTAGTTTTCTTGCCCTCGGTTTGTGGGTAAAGATGATCTGAATTTCCTGTTGAAAATTTTCTGTGCTGGCCTGGATTTAAAGCAGTCATTTTATTGATAATTTATTTTCAAAATATTG